TATTATTATTATTATTATTATTATTTTTTTTTTCACTGATGTGATATTAAAAATTTGTTAGACATCGACATGCATCTAATATTGAAAGGGGGATTGCTTATCGGTTTCTTAGGCTATGATGCATTTTTTTTTTTTTTTTTTTTGTTACAGAATTATTATCATTATCATCATCATTGTAATCATACAATTGTCATTATATATCTATTATATATCTATTATGTACAATTCTTCAAGTATAATTATGTCGATACTTGCAAAAAACACGATATTACACTAGAGCCACTCTTTCTCATAAACCGTTCAATTTTTTTTTTTTTCTTTAGCTTGTAAGGTATTAAGAAGATACTTTGTATCGAGTCATCATGGTTTCGTTTTCGTTGGAAATCGGTTTATGGAATCTAAGCAACCAACAGAACGATTATCTACATGCGTTGAGGGGATTATGTCACCCTCTATTGGAAATTATTATAAATACCGTAAGAAAAAAAATGAATCGACGCTTTTCTTTTTCTCCGTGCATGATGCATTTTTTTTTTTTTTTTTTTTTGGATTGAATAAATACTATATATGCGCGTCAATAGAGGCTACTTTAATTCGCTATCTTGCCAAATCTGTTTCTTCTTCTCCTTTTTCTTTTTTCATTTTTCTTTCTTGCCTCGAGTGATCGCGATTGGATCCTGCCCAACCCAATAAATTTACACTGCCTATTCTATTCTATCTTCTTACTCTCCTCTTGTCACTTTTACTCTTTTTTTTCGCCTTCGCGTCGCGACGTTTCTATAGGCTCTATCTGGCTGTGGGATGATAATGTGTCTTCTGTTTCTTTGTCTTCGAGATGCATTGGCCTCTTTAATCATGCATAAAGTCGGCGTTCCTTTTGTTTCCTTAAAAGCCGTAGGGAAGCGAAAGGGTTCACGTGTTCCATCTGACAAAGAGCATCCACAGCATTCGAATCACTATATGATGTTTTGGCAGTATCAAGCAGACAGGAATGTTCAAATTTTCACGAGGGAACGTTTGGCATTCTCAACGCTGCGAACATAATCTATACGTAATAATATCACAACTGTAATGGAAGTTATGACATTACGTACAAATCCATACGTACATGGAGGATACGTAATACTTTGAAAGAACAGTTTCTCACGAAAATTTGAATAGCATATCCTGTGTATGCTTGATACTGTTGCTATAATGGACGTCTCTCCCCCGTGGGAGTTCCATTTGGCCTGTTATCTCTTAGGTAGCACCGGAAGGATATATTACACTTCCGTGGTGCGACTGTACGGGCCGGACTCCTCCGATTGCGAAAGCTTTCGTTCCCGTTTGGCGAACAGACCTCCTAAAAAAGATGGCTGCTGAGCCAGTCCTTTAGCACCGCCAGGGATCGTAGCCCCTGGATGTATAGGATGAACTTGTCCAGGGTGTTTAATGCCTTGGCTCATTGAGCTGGCAGATGTGGATTGAAAAGAAATCGACATACCGCTATCGAGTGAGCCCACGCTTCCACGTCGTTGCGGTTTTTCACCAGCAACTGTAAGAAACAAAACAAAACGGGAATATTCAAACATTTTCTCTCAATTTTTAATACATTTTGATTTGTACGTTACAGACTGAAAATTTGGAATCAACACTATAATATTCTGCAGACGTGGAGAATTTGAATAAAAGTTCACTTAGAATTCTTAGAAAATTCCTTAATCAAGAATCCTTTGAAATGAGAAGAAAAGAAATTGTTATTGATATTTGTGATGAATAATTACTAAATACTCTATTCACTTCTAGAACTAGTGGTCTTTGTTTGACATAGAGAAATTAAGAAAATTAGGACGCTAGTGTATTTGTGTTGAGACGTACAATATAGAATAATTTCACTTACATTGTTCGTGTATGTCCAGAAGGGAATTACTAAGTGCAGAACGCTTTAATTGGGTGTCCATGTCAGTAGTTTCTGATCTCTCGGAGCAGGGCCCCGGGCAAGGGCATATCTCGACGTCTGCCACTCCAGAGTCTCTATTTTCAGCGCCACCTCTAGCGCTTCTGCTGCTCTTCTGCCGTTCCAGTTCCGTCTCAATCCGTAAGGTTTCCATCTCGTCCATTTCGCTGATGGACTCTCGGAGATCCTCCACGAACTTGCACCTGTCGTGCGCGTTCCTCGCGTTGAACGTGACCAACACCTTTCCATCCACGCGCTGGGAGAGTCTAATTCCATACGGATAATCTGAAAGGCAAAGATGAGAGGGTAGGTAAGAAATCTTCAGTATTCTATACGCTAAGGAGGAATAAAATTGTTTTCAGGATGAACGTGAAACTCACGAGGAACTTCAAACAGCGTGACCACCATTCCGCACAACGGGAAGCTCTGTCTGAACGTGTAAGTAACGCTGTTCTTCTTTTTGCTGAGAATCTTGGTCACGACGAGGAGATCGTTGAAGAGGAATACTTCTCGTTGGTGTACACCCGGCCTCTCCTTCTTGTGGATGTCCGGGATCTCGTACAGTCTGCAATAGCAAACTAATCTTCTATGAGGCAGGGCCATGTTAGGCTTCTTGCCGACGATCGTCGCCTGAACCTTCATCACTTGAGAAACGTGGTCCGAGCCAGGTTTGAACTCATTCTCCTTCACCCTCTCGTAAATTCCAACCAGTATGTCTCTGTCGATGTCGCCGCAGTCGTCTATGCCTCTGAGATTCTTGACAAAGTCGTCCAGCCTCATTCTACGCTCTGGTTTCAGGTTCGGCGTGTGCAGGTCGGTGTTCAGCATGATTATCGCGAACGCCAGTACAAAGACGGTGTCCGCCGAGCGTAGCCTGGACACCACGTCGGGGTTGCAGTGGCAATAACGCTGGCTGAACACCTCCATCAGTCGTTCTATCTTCTGTGCTTCGCCTGGCATCCGGAAGTACGCCTGGAACTTCCTCAAGGCGACGTCTACTTGCATTCCCGACAGATCCAGTTCATGGGAGAAGCATCTGCAAATTACAGGTACATTCACTGCAATCGACTTGTCCGTGTTTTGTGATGTATTTCAAGTCTTTTCAGTCAAAATTTTTATCTCACACTCTTCTGAAACCTGGAAAGCTGGAAAGTTAGGAACAAAAATACAATATATATATGTTTTTTCCTATTTATATATTCGAGCTTCTTCGCACTCCATTGTTTTTCGATATCCGAAACACGTTAAATTTTTCTGTCTACGGTGTGGCCCAGTCGCACTGGCTCGCACGTTACACCTAAAGAGGGCTCCTCTTTGGAACTCAAATTTAGGTTTATTTTACGGCGGAACACCTACTGTGTCTGTGTAAAATTTGTGAATAACCTGTCAGCCAATATTTCTATTCCGTTTAACTGTTTAAATTGTTTAACAAAAAAAAAAAAAATCTCTTGTATTTTTCTAACTATTATTATATCGAACGTTGGTAGTTGCGCGACAACCGTGACTAAAGTGTTGCCTGCTACCAATCCTCCTTGACCTAAATTTTTCTTAAAACTACTTGAAACGACCGGCAAACGGATCAATGCCATTTCTAGTAGCTCCTTTCACGGTGAATTACCCTTTGCACACTGCTGGCAAAGAACTGAAAAACGTAACTACTGAAACGAAACAATTGCAACAGTCCTTAAAGAGCGACAGAAGAGAAAACGGCTTTCCATAATAAACAACGAGCAACGAACCCAACAACTGCGTGTTTCCGTTACGATTGCCGATCACTGTGATAAACAAATAGATTAACTTTCTCTGACTACGCTGTTCCATCTTCACAACCATCACTTTCCTTTTCTCTTCGTTGCAGGAAAATAACAGAGGAATGTGTACAAAATAAGATGCTTACTCAAGCACAGCCATGTTGAAGGGGTTTTGAAGGTTTCCAAGATATTCTCCAATCATCTGTTTCGACAGGCCTTTCCTACTGATCAGAAATCTCGCCACACCCTGAGGACTGTTCTCCAAGAATCCTCGTCTGATCAAATAACTGATCCCCCTTTCTGGCTTCTTGTTGAACAGATTTAGGCCAACTCGATACTGACGTTTCCTCACTGTCTCCGACACTTTGTAGCTCGTCTGCGGCATATTTTCCGGATGGTCCATCAGAGGAAGCTGGTATCCGGAACTGGCGTGAGAGTGACCAAGATCTTTCACGCTGTTCATCATGGTGCTCGAGTCTGTCGCGTGGTTGGCGCATTCCTGGTGTTCCGGCGAGCTCGACTGTAGAGACGCAGAAATAAAAATGTGAGGAACGCTTGTTTGCAAGTTCGACTAATCTTTTTTTTTTTTTTTTTTTTT